GAACTGCATACTTTTAAGGAGACGACTAATATGGCATGTATAAAATATCTCAATAAAGTTGTCAAAGAAAACTACTTATACTAGACAATTCTTTTTCTAGCAAGAGGGAAAGCTAAACAACATGAAGATGTTCTAGTAAAACACCTAGAAATAAGGCCAGGCTCGGTGGCTCAGCCTATAATCCCAGCACTTTGGGAGGCCGAGGTGAGTGGATTGCCTGAGCCCGCGGGTTTGAGACCCACCTGGGCAACTTGGCGAGACCTCATCTCTACAATAAATCAAAAACTAGTCGAGCATGGTAGCATGCGCCTGTAGTTCTGGCTACTTGGAAGGATTGCCGGAGCCCAGCAGGTTGAGGCTGCGGTGGCCGGGAGTGTGCCACCGCACTCTAGTCTGGGCGACAGAGTGAGACTCCAACTCAAAAAAAAAACCAAAACCAAAAAGAACCCACCTAGAAATGCTCAATGAAATAATTTTTTAAAAAATATATAGCTGAGCTTACAAGAAAGAAAGGGAAACTCCGAGATGTAAGTTATAATCAGAGTCAAGACAATCTCTTCTCTCAGAGGGAGAAAGAGGGATTGCTCATTAACTACAGGCTGCAGTTTTAGAGCTCAAGCACACACAGGATATGAGACTTCGGGCCCTCTTGAGAAATATCATTGAAACCGAAATATCTGCAAAAATTTAGGTCCCTTGAAGAATACTCTGAAAGAAAGATCCAGAAAACAGCATAATGACAATCAAGAAGATGGTCTCTGAATGGGCTCAGAGTGGGGCAAAAAAAAAAAAAAAAGAAATCCTAACACAGACTCTGGGCCTGTGCATGTTTGTAGTCTAAGTTTACACTACCTCCAGAGGGCAGAGTCTTGTCATTTTAGATTATAAGCTCTTCAAGGAGCATTCAGGACAATAATAGAAATACACTTACAAAATATAACTTTTGATATTATTTTCCCACAGAAGAAAGAGTCCACGAAGGTGAAAGTGCCTAGGGCCCATAAGTATTATGCAGTCCTGGGTCCCTTGAGCTTAGATTTTTATCTATAAGTGACAAGGAGAAGCATAAAGAAGGAAAGTAATAAGATCTGAAGTGCAGTTTATAACGGCACAAGGATAGACCCCAGGCGCTAACAGTAATGACAGCTACCATTTGTTGAGTATCTACTGTGTGCTTGGCACTTTGCTAAGTGCTTTACATTTCTTCTATTATCCCTTCATCTAATCTCCTGACAAGTCATGCGGAAGGTGTTCTTACAATCTCTATTTTACAAATGAGGACACTGAGTCTGAGAATGAAGGACTTTGTAAAGCTTCCATGGCTAGAAAGGGAAGAAAAAACCTGGGCTCTATGACAGATTATGAGACCAGTTGTGGGACTCTTGCTACAGGCCCACGCAAGAGATGGCAGGGGTCTCATTTTAAGGCCGTGGTTATAGTGAATCAAAGGAGAAGAGAGATTTGAGAGACCTTTGAGAGCTAACCCTGCAGGGCAGGAGATGGGCACTGCTAAGTATGAGAGAGAAGGAAGAACTGAGCAAGGTTGGGGTTTCCGGGGTGGGTGGCAACCAACACCACTCACAAAGAAAAAGTGTGGGAAGGCAATGGGGTCTATTCTTCACAGGTGGTATACGAGGCACCACGGGACATTCAGATGGGGTCAGATGTCCAGCAGGGAGCTGAAACACACGAGAATGGAAGTTCAGACAGCAGAGGAAGCCTGAGATACAAACCTGGCTGCCATTAGGGCAGAGGGGACAGAGGTGTGACCGAGGGCCCAGTAGCAAGAAGGCAAAGGGCAGATGAGGCTCAGGAAGAATCTTCCAGCCACACTCCTCTTGTATTTTTCCACCACACTTAAGGAGGAAAGGTATACTCCAAAACTGATTTCTTCTCTGCTTTACATGCACACTCTCTCAGGCTATATTTGAAGCTCAAGATTTCAAGGAAGTGAAACTTAAGGAATGGAGAATCACCTTAAGAACCACATGGTTAGGCTTCCTGTTTGTCTTCATAAATCCATTTGTCCACTCTCTCTCTCCACCCATTGATGATCACTGTTGAGACTAAGTTTTTTAAAATGCTTTTGTATCCATGTTCCTATTAGACAGGCAAGGTTGATATTATCGTGGTCATTTTAGAGATGAAATGGAGGCTCAGAAGGATTAATTACTGGACCATCCAAAAGTGATGGAGACAGAGTAAGATCTTCCTTCCAACTCCAACACACACACACACACACACACGCATTCTTTCTACTACTCCATATTTTCATATTTTCAATCACTCTACCCGAAACTTTTGTAGAAAGAAAGCACCTCGCATTGCAAACGTAATGACGAATCATAAATAAATGATAGTATACTCATAAGAA